CATATCTCTTCTTGATTATGTAATTAATTATTTTAACAATGCATCTACTATTTCACAAACAACAGCTACTTGTTTTACTCATTACTGGAGTTTAATTATCCAAATGCAGTGATCCTGAACTTTCTAAAAAGCTTATAAAATTACCTACAAGTCTTATTTGATTCACAAAAGCTAAATCACAACTTGTTAACATATTTAAGCAAATTGCAAGGTCATACAATCATTTCATGTATTAGTCACACATAGTGCTATCTAGGTTAACACATGAAATCTTACTTAAGTGTTTGGTCATGAAAGGTGACCTTCATGAACAATGTCCTATTTGCTAACCCATGTGTTGTTAAATGTTTTTGTGACTCACATCCACCAAGTACATGTTTACACTCATGATCATTTGCATATGTACAAGGAAACATGAGATAACAAGCAAATGTTGCATATGTTTCAATCCAATGTTTCAATTGTAAATGCTTGTTTATGAATGCTTGATGATCATGCTCATGCTATGCAAGTCAAGTTATGCAAGGCTAACACCTAGGGTGTTACACTGTCTCTCTCTCGCTCGTTTGTAACCCCTACTACGAACTTTCAGTGCTAGTAACACGAGCAGCAACAACGAACTAGACGTAGGGATATTATGTCCGAATCAATATAAACCTCGTGTCCTCTTAGCACACCATCTTGACCAGACGCGCAATATTAGAAATTTACTAGCCGGTGGCAACTCGAAACACCGACAAATTAAAAACTCTCATATCTAGTAAGTGCTTACCATTTTATTATTAGATTATTTTTTCAATTCTTAGAAACAAACAGAGCCTAAGAGTAATAGTAACTAGACTTTAAATTTTCTCCAAATGTTTTGAAAGAAAAAAAATCTTGTTTAAATTAAAATACCATAGTGGTTACGAAATGTATGCAACACAAGTATATATAAAAAAGATTTTGTAATCTAAAAGTGAAAATGAATCAGTTGTCTCAGCTATATATGACACCCAGATAACCAAATGTCTATTTTTCCATGTGGAAAATTCTAATTAACATAGTAAACTTTAAATAGCCATCTCAGGTGTGGACATATAGCATATGACCACATTACCATGCAAATACGATAGTAAGCAATTTTTAAAAATTGGTATATATAATTGAAGAAAGAGAAGTTTGCTTTTTTTTGCCATCGATACTGTTGGAGTTTGATTTTGTCCATGAAACTCCAAAACCAAAAATCTTTGAACATTTAGCTATCAAAATTGTTCACATCTGGCTATCCAACTGATTCGAGAATGCTTTTTTCTTACATGGATGACACGTGTCAGTGGGGCCCATATGTTAGGCCTCTCTCCCCTCTCCTACCTCTCTCTCCATGCCATAATTCTTTCTCCCTCCTATCTCTCCACTGCTGTCTCCGGTGCTCTTCCGCCCCTACTGACCACACAATGAGCTCTAGTGCAAGGTCATGATTGTCTACGACAGGTTCTTTGAACCTAGGACTACTCCCATCCTCAGCGGTGAGACGTCGATCGACACCGTTGTGGATAACCTACGTCCACTGCTTCTCCATCGAATTTGATCCCGGGGTGAGCTTATTCGCACCTCGGAGATCTTTTTGACCCCCTCTTGTGAGCCTAGACACACCAGATTGGACCTACCCCCAACCGCAGTGGGGGCGGCATTGACGCTGGCTCAGCATGTGGCGGAAGGCGGTGTAGGGGGAGTCTGACCGTGTAGTGATTGTATCGTGCTGAGGGTTGTTGCGATGCTATGGTCGCTGGTGTCGACGTGGGTCTGCACCGATGTCGATGCTGGTGCGGACCATGTCCTAGCACACTACGATGTGTTGGTGACTAGGGTTTTTAATTTCAGTATTGCAAAATTTCCTGCCACCACCGAAATTACCGAATTTCGTGAAATTCGGCCGAAATTTTGATGAATTTTTTATAGAGACTAGCACATGAAGTATGCTTTTCTAAATAAATTTAGATCTAAACAAATATTATTATGATTTATGGCTACACATCTATTGAATAGAAGAATAAACAACATAAACAATAGAAAATATGAGTCTAGAGTTATATAGCACATATATTAGTGTATTACAAAATTTTGGAATTTTCTTTCGGCCACCACCGAAATTTTGAACCCTGTTGATGGCCGTGGTGGGAGGATTGACCCGCGTAACAACGTTGAGAGAGAGGGTGAGGAGGGAGAGGGAGAAAGGCCTTATAAGTGGGATCCACTACCACGTGTTGTCCACATAAGCGAAACCACCTTCAAACGTAGCTATGGTCAGATGTGAACAATTTTGGTAGTTAGGGTAAAAAAAATCTAGTTTTGGAGTTCAATTGCCAAAATCAAACTCAAGCAGTAGTTCAACATTGTACCTCGAAGAATAAGTTGTAATTCGGATACCCAATTGCCTTTAGGGTTATCTGGCTCATTTTCTTTGTCTATTTTTTTTTTAGAATGAGACTGCTTAAGGACGAATAGTGTAGATTTTATACATAACGTTTCCATGACTAATCCAAAAAATATGACCAATTGCCTTTAGGCTGATTCCTGAACATGCCTTGCCCTTTTGAAGTCGGTCCCCGAAATTTGAAACAAAGGATTACCGTGTATTCGTTTGCTTCTCTGCACTAGCTACAGTCAACGGTATCCACTATCCAATTCCAGCGCCGTGATTCATGAACATCATAGCGACACCAGAGCGCGCGCGCGCACACACACATGACATGTTGACATGGGCAGTGTAAAACCACATGCTAATGCTAGTGAGCTAGTCACTCCTGGCTCGTCAGCAAGCTGAATCAGTAGTGGTGCATCGCGAGGGCTGACTCCGGCGAGCGGAGGGCATGCGGGGACGACGACGGCGACAAGGCAGCGTCGCATCAGCATCACACTCGCAATCGCAGGGTTTGACCTCCCCGTGGGCCTTTTTCCGAACCTTCTCGCCGGCAACTCGGCAGGATCCCAGAAGGCGGTCAGCAGGGGCCCGGAAGCTGGGGTCAAGACTTTTTCTCCCTGCCGAACCCGACGACCAGGGTATGTGGAAAACTCCCTCCGTAGGTGGCAGCTGCAGGTGCACTCACTCACATTACTCACTCACTCACTGCCGCACCAGTGTTAAAAGAGACCGAACTGACTGAGGCGCCGGCAAAAGGCATGCGGACGGCGTCGCTGTCGCGGCGTCGTGGGCAAACTCCTGCCGCGTGGTTTCCCAACCAAGAACCAACCACCGTCAGCGTCAGGTTTCGGTTTCAAAGATTGCAGTGTACACAGACCAGGGTGCTTGAATTGATCAACGTTTCATGCAGCAAGCCCTGCTCTGAATAGTCCGAACTCTGAACCATCACGTGTGACATCGTGTGCCAGGTGCACACTCCGACAGTACAGCGAAGAGATGAATTCAACAAATTCCAGTGAATTTGTCTTTTTTGAATACTTGGCAGCTTTGGCGTTACTATTTCAACGTCTGGCCATTTGTCTTTTTCGAGAGTATTTATACAGATAACGGGAAATATATGACATGTGTTCAGAGTACTTTCGAGAACAAATCCTGCGATATCTTTCTCCCGTTACTTAACTGAATGTTTAAGCAAGCATTCTTAGTAAAAGTTTGACTAGCGAAAGCCGTCGATTATTGCCAAACAGATTTCGGGCCGCGGGAAGTTCATCAATGTAGCTCAGCAAATTCTGCAATCGAATTGTAACACTATAGCTGAATGAAAGGAAGCTGCAGCGAGGAGTCGAGGACTCTATCCAAAGAACAAAAAACACACTTTCAACGAAGTAGTAATATACACTTAGAGGAACGTCTAGAAAGAGCAAAATAGAAGGATCTTTAACAGTGAGCTTCAAACGATGCAATAGGTCGCTGCTAAGACTGTCTCCAACAACCGCGACCTAAAATATAAGAACTATTCGTCTTTGGGTAGCTCTACAAGCAAATGGTTCAATACCTATTTTTTATCTTCTCCAACAACAAGACCCAAAAGACAACCCTTTCTGCAAATAGATCTCCAGGAGAGAGGATATTCAGTTTTGAGTTATGTCTCTCCTTATACTTAAAATGAATCTTCCGTATAGATACTCTGTTGGAGGGTATAGTTATTGTGTTGGAGTGTTTTTAGTTTGGGTTCCACAATGGATCTCTGTTGGAGACACCCTAAAGTCAGGAAGATTTAGCGTTGAGAAGGACATTTGCTTGGGTTTTGTAAAGGCCTTGTCTTTTGGGGCGTATTTTGGCTCTTGGGCTCTCTGTGCCAGGCCGGGGAGTATGTGATGTGCCATTTTAAAACTCCTGTAGTTAACTTTATTTGCTTTCTTCCATGGACCAGATGGTCGGAGGTCCGGTCGGCACCCTCGCGTGCAGGGTTCGAGCCCTCGTGGGTGCGCTCGTTCGCCTGCCGGATGTAAAAAAATCCCCTCGTCAGTCGGCGTTTTTCAAAGCATAGGTAAATGGATCGGCCCACTCATAGGGTAACGGGCCCCTGTATAAGGGTGGGGCATGGGTTTGGGAGTTTTCTTGACCTGCGTGAGAGATCTCTTCTACTTTAAGCATAAAGTTGCGGGGCTGTCTGCCCACCGTAGACCAATTTTTTTTTCTTGATTAAAAAGCAAAGCTCCTACAATTGTGTTAAAAAAATTATTACCAAACAGAAGTCGGTAGTTTACATGTATCTGCTGCAGCAGCATAGCTGCATCAGGAATCAGCAGGTAGAAAAGCCACAGATCACAACTGACAAGGAGTTCCATCACTAGACGTGTCTTTACACAGAAGTATGTTCTGCAAGGGTGTGGTTTTTATTGTCCTACTAGGAGAGCAGGCGCAAGTAGAGCTTGCAACACACCCCCATCTGTGTTCTAGGTATCAGACGAATAACACAGCCACTGATGCTATAATTGCAATTAAGAATGGCTACATAAGCTTGTTAAACTGCCAGGTATGTGAGCTTATTGTATACAGTAACAGCCACACAGTTCCAGGAAATGGCTAACTCCTAGCAAGCACATCCGCTTGTCTGTTCAGTATCCGGGACTTGTTCTGCAACTGTCTTGAAGTAACTGGGGACACAAAATGAACAAATAACAAACGCATATGATTAGAATTGCAAATCAATCTGGGAGTTGCCAGAATCTGGCAGCCTGCACGGACAGAGGATGACCTGAACCCTCCTACATCTTTGAAAGTTTTTTTTGCTCTTTTTTCAATAAAAAAATAGTAAACGCATTTTGGTAGAACTTCAGCAAGACCAAAAGCCAGGCAAAAAACATGGATTGAACGTTGTATCCGAACAAGAAACTGACGACGCTTTTACTTACATGTCTTGATCATGCTCATGCTCCAAAGCGAGCTTGGCAATGCATAGGAAAGCAGTGTCGACATTGTGGTCCTCCTTTGCAGAGGTTTCGAAATATGGAATATCGCCTTTGGAGGCACACCATTCCCTCGCTTTCTTCTCAGGAACCTGTGGGAAGGCCGCAAAGAGACTGAAGATTATTTCGAATCTATATAAGAAAGTTTGCGCATTCAGGAAACTAACCATTCTTTTGCTTCCGCCATCTAAATCAATCTTGTTTCCGACCAAGATGAATGGAAAATGTTGAAGATCTGATGGGCTAGCCTAAAAGGGAACAAAATGGTGGATCCATCAGTTAGAGCATTCAGACCATAGGGAAGGTTCTTGCAGTTTATATACTGCACCAGACAACGCCAGACAAGCAGTGGCGGAGGCAAGTATGTGGCGAGGCTTGGCAGCCGCCATATCTAAAACATATAAAAAAATACCGAATATATATATAGTATATATGTATACGTGAGTACGTGACACGTTAATACAGGCAACAGGCAACAGGCAACAGGCAAGTTTGCTTTGGCCTGCCGGCCTGCACTTCTGGTCTGGTGGGCTTCCGCTCCACTTGATGGAATGATGGGCCTCCTCGCGTCGATTACCAGCCATAAGCCCAGAACGGAGCACGGAGGGAAGCTCGTTAGGGATCGACTCGTCTGCTCGTTTGCCTCTCCGTGACTCCGTCTCTTCCTATTCTAAATCTAAATCCGATCAGAGCATCACGCATCAGGAGTTCAGGACGTAGACGCTGTGGCCGGCGGACGGCAGACAGCGGCGCGACGACTCAATGCGGTGGCCGGCGCCGGGGGACGGCGGCACGATTGCACGAGCGGACGGGTCCTGATCGCCTGCAACTGCAAGTGCAACGATGGCACCAAAGAAGAAGAGTATATATGTTTGAATGGTTTTTTTTCAGAAATTAGAATTCTAAAAAGATGTTCGAACTTGAAAGAAATATTATGTTCCCTCGAGTTTATCATATTATTGAGTTGGGGTTGCTACTGCCAGTGGCGACAACATCGGTTGAGAGCGTCTTCTCAGTTATGAAGATTGTTAAGACCGAGTTACACAATAAGATGCCTGATGCTTGGCTTAATGACCTGATGGTGTGCTACATTGAGAGAGGTTTATTCAAGGGACTTGATCTTGCTGAAATTAAGAAAGAATTTCAAAAGAAAAATAGAAGAATGTCATTGCCAAGGTCTGCACCCAAATAAAGCTTTATTATAGGTATGTATTTGTTCCAACAATCTTCATTTAGTGAGGTATTTTAAGTGCCAATGCTTTTTTTGGATTTCTACTATATTTGCTCATCACAAAGTAATATATATATTTAGATAATATTCTGGTGCGTCCTTGAATAGTTGATAGTTACATTATACATGTTTGACCAATTGACCTTTACAAACCCGCCACACCCGAAAAATATTCCTGCCTCCGCCACTGCAGACAAGTAGATTGATGTGATAAATGTTTTAACAGGTTCAGTTTATTATATTTTGATTTTGGATAGGAGGTAAAAAAATGGATCCTATACAAACTATAAATTAACTTGTTGTAGATGACTATATCAATCGTCTGAACACTATCTGTTTTCATACGAAAGGACCACTTTATATGTTTTGTACTCAAGCTCATAAGTAGCTGCTATTGCACACAGAAATCCAATACTTGTGAGAAATGTAATCACAATTCAGAACGCATCAAAGTATTATTAGCTAATGCTATTTTTTTTATATCTGCTATCTGAATCTGAGTATCTGAAACGAAGAAGGCGGCATGAAGATACGCAGCTCTCCTGCGTATTCGAGAGAGAGAAAAACAGAGGCAGGCGGTACCAGATAAAACTGGCTTACTTGATTGAGGAACTCATTATGCCAGGTATTGAGTGTATTAAAGCTTCTCTTAGCATTGACATCATAGACTAGCACACAGCAATCGGCACCCCTGTAGAACGCTACGCCAAGACTCTGGAACCTCTCCTGCCCCGCCGTGTCCCATATCTGCATAGCATAACACAATGACGACCGCCGCATGGTCCGGTTCCTATTGGTGGCTGGTGCAAGAATGAATTAGCCCAAATCATATTCAGACCAAGAGGATCACCTGCAAGGTGACAAGCCTGTCGCCAATGAGGACCTCCTTGGTGAGGAAATCGGCACCGATCGTCGCCTTGTACTGCTGGCTGAACTTCTTGCTCACGTATCTAGTCATTGTCAAGCAAATCTAAGCATCTCCCAATATGGCGAATACATTGAAGGCATACTTTCATGAGTGAAGCATAAATATCATACGACGCTATTATCCAAAAACAATGCACATTTCACTATATGATTTATGTGCAGGCATGTTTCCAGCTCTGAACGGATCAACTGAACGGATGAAGCAAAGGGAAAATAAACAGCAGTTAACTGAAATTGTTATGAACATGATGAAAGACGGAGGATACTGGTTCATCAGCGACGTCTTGCCGACCCTGCACTCGCCGAACCAATCCACCGATCCATCAATCCATGTGAAACCGACGTTAAGCAAATCGGAACCGAGCGCCGGGAACAGATAGAAGAGAAACGGAAGGGCGAGAATTAAGCGAGGGTGAAACGTGCTGACCCGCTGTCGCCGAGGACGATGACCTTGAGAAGCGTTCGCCTCCGCCACGACTCCATGGGGTGGGCGGGCCACGGGCGAGGCGATAGGTGTGGCGGCGACTGGGCGATCACCCTCCTCACACCTTGTGTCACGAGGCGCACGGGAAGCGAGGCGAAGAAAGGAAGGAGAGCGTTGGAAAGAAAGCTGTGAGACTGAGACCGCGGGCGACATTTGATCTGGGGCTCTTCTGGTCTCACCTCTCCGGCACGTCGGCAACTGATGCACGGGCGTGATCGAGACGCGCGCCAATTCATTTCCGAGCTTTTTGGAGGAAGAAAATGGAAGGCATTATAGACTCTTTTTTTATTGCCTCAATCTTTGATACATATCTGAACACACTAACTCACACCACAACACCACACGTACACACACCTAGATCTACGACCTATATCCAGATAATTGTACTCTATCTATGTGAGGCATCCCCATCCTAAAAATAATTGAGGAATAACTCCGGTGCGAGACGTGAGACGAGCCTCGAACTCACGACCGGCTGCTCTCCACTGGAGGCCTGGAGCACTGAGCTATGGCTCGGTCTCCAATGTAGACTCTTTTTTAAAACAAAACAAAACTGGACACCGCCTCAATTTACACCCATGGGCCAACTTTGGCTGAGTACCTAGGTTTGGGCCAAACCCATTTGAGTTGATCGCAAGGTATATGATTACAGGCCGCGACAGAAGAAGCCGGTAGAAAAGAAAGTCACTATTGGGCCTGCTTATACCTGCCAAATAAGAGAAAAAACTTAGGTGTGCAATTGGTTGAGTGACATAATAACAATAGTAGAATATCTCAAAACAAAGACATAACAAATAGTAGAAAACATTTTTTCTATCTTTTTTTTGTGTGAATTGCTTGCCTTTCATAAATCAGCCGGCCGAAGCCTCAACCATGATCAAGTCATACACACATGCTGGAGTAACATGCCACACCTCCGAGCAATGTGAACTAGAAACCTGACGAGCTAACAAATGTGCAAACTTATTAGAACTTTTACTAATAAAAGAGAAAGAAAACTCTTGAAAGGCAAGGCTAATTTCCTCCATCTCCTTCAGAATAGGATCAATGATGGATCTTTGTGACTCCTTCCACAATTGCACAACCTGGAAACAGTCGGTTTCCAAGGCCACCCGACGTAAACTCATCTGTGCAGCAAGCTTCATGCCATCCCTGCACGCCAAGGCCTCCATGGAGCAAACATCAAGACCACGCTCATACCAGATTGCTTGTGCCGAATAGAACGCGCCTTGATCATCTCTGATAATGGACAAGGTTGCTCCTTTATTGTTTTCTTCAGAGAACGCAGCATCCGTATTAATCTTCGACCATCCCACCTCCGGCTTTCTCCATTTATCCCTATTGTATGTCGGAGCTGGTTTGTCAAATTAGTGGCTCGGTGCCATAAATCATAAGTCGTATCTTTGGCCCAGATCACCACTTTCTTTGAACCAAGCATCGTCAACTCTCCATGGCGTCGTTGGTTCCTCAGCATCCAGAGCGCCCACATTCCAATCATAATCGAGCACGATCTCGTCTTGGGCAAAGCTGTGACATCAAATCAGCAGATTTCACGCCTCAAAGATTCGAGCTTGGTAATTTGACCCCTGTTGCCCATCTTGTATATTGCCAGAACTACCTCGCCATTGTACAGTCCAAGAGTACATGCCTGATTGATTCTTCTGGCTCCCCACAGACCTCATATAAGGCCTCCGGTTCTATGTGCCTTCTGAATAAAATTTGCTTCGTCGGTAGGAATTCGTGCAAAACACGCCACCAGAACACTCTAACTTTGGGAGGGATCTCCAGCTTCCAAGCTTTTTTCATATAGCATCATCAAAAAGAGCTAGGTAAATGGCCAAAGGATTCTTCCCATTTCCTCCTGTATATAATCTTGTATGCCGAGCGGACAGAGTATGTAATTTAAGAAGTCACTAGAAATTTGTCAAAATGGATCTCCAAATACAGACATCCTCTATTTCAAAATTCTCGTTCCCCAACAATAATGGCTTTCTAAGGTGCGCACAAGATATAGAATAGCTACCGAAGGTACAAAGATATAGAAAATAATTTTTACTTAAATGACTTTAAATAATGATTTAAAGAGTGAATTTTATAAGAACTCCTGGAGTTGCTCTTAGTTTGTGATTTCTTTCTCAAATGCAAAATCAGACATTCTCGTTCCTTCAAGTCAGCCATATATCAAAACCACCCACCACATCATGAGAACCGTTTGAAGAAGTCAGAGCATGACCAATGCAAGCATATAACTATATCGGTCTCATTTAACATATAAACAAAATGCATTTCATACACTATCCAAACTTCTAAGCTCACAGCGCAGGCACCCATGTGCTAGACCACAGTTTCTATCCCCGCTCAGACAAAAGTACAACCATCCCTTTCTCTTCCTCTCATAGGCTAGCGTTCTCTCTCATGAGGCTGGTGCCTCTGCAAGAACTACTATCATTTAACTTTTTATATCTCCTCCATGGCATCTCCTATCAGATGTGGTACAATAAGATCACCACCCACGCTAAGCGTTGGGGCTAGCCTTAGAAGAGGGTGATAATCTAATTTTGCAGTTTAGATGATAGTTCGGTAAATGACTTCTTCAGGACAGTAAGGATGTATTTAAATCCATGGGGTAAAGTTTAGGGGTGTTACATCCGGTGTCATATGAGGTGTTACATGGAAGTGTTCGGACAGTAATAATAAAAAAAATTACAATACGAATTTATCAAGACTAATTAATTCGTCAATAGCACATGTTTAGTAAAATCATGGATTAATTAGGCTTAAAAATTCGTCTCGTAGAGTAGTCGCAATCTGTACAATTAGTTATTTTTTAATCTATATTTAATACTTCATGTATATGTCAAATATACATATGACAGGGAGTACTCTAGAGGAGGAATAAAACAAGGACTAAGGGCCGTTCGGATGGTATGAAATTCAGCCGGAAATCACTGTTTACAGCTGAGAAACACTGTTCACTCTCTCATAAATTTCTCTAGATTTATTCAGATTTCTCCAAATTCCTCCAAGCGAACGGAGCCAAAGTAGGGATAACATGGATAAATAATAAAGATAAATTTGTTCAGTAGCGGGCCAAATTCAACAAAAACGGAATAAAAGCGAAATGGGACAGACAGACAGAGACAGACAGTCAGGCGTGCACAAGGAAGGATAAGGTGAGTTGTCCATCCATCCTGGCGCCAGATCGTTCGGGATCCGCGCGCGACCCAATCACCCCACGCGGCACCTCGATGCCGATGACGTCCCACGCGGGGCCCCACACCGCAGCCGCCGTGTAGCCTGTTCGGCAGGCTGAACTTGCTCATGGACGATCGTAAATTTTCAGCCAAAACCACCAGTTCACGAACCGGCCACGATCCAGCCCAGCCAGGCTGCGCCCGCTGGGATACACGACGACAGCACGATGAGAGAGGCTCCGTCGGAGTGCAGAGTGCAGAGTGCAGAGTCCAGAGCGCAGAGAGCGGACGCAACAGCCCACTCTCCCCAGCGATCGAAGTGAGCAGCGCAGTGAAGCCAGCCGCCCTCGCCGCCGATGAGCCGCCTACTCTCCCGGCGGCAAACTGACGCCGTCCGTCGATCCGCACCCCTCGCGTGCGTGTCCAGGTGATCCGCCTCTGGCCCCGCTCCTTTTCTGTTTCTTTGCCCCCGCGATCTGTTGCGCGTGCAAATGGAGGTGCCGTTGCGTGATCTGATGCAAATTGGGGGGATCGCACTGATGGCCAGTGCGTACCGTGTGGTGGCGATAGGGTTCCCTGACCTGTCAGGGTTGTTCAGGGAATCGGGGAGCCGTGCCCATGGTTACTGCTGGAGGCCGCACGCCCGCACTAGGTGTGGATGTTAAGTTCACTTGGGCCTGCGGCTGATTGTTCGGGTGATTTGCAGGTGGCTGCACACGCCGTCATTTGCGACGGTGTCTCCGCATGAGGTTTCCGGTTCCAGCCCCGCGGAAGTGCAGAATTTTGGTAAGGACTCTGTTTGTGAAATTTTTTCGTCTTCGAAACCAATGCTTATGTTTTCTTCATAATGAATCCCATGGAGATGGAACCATATGACTGTTAACTAGGCTGCATGCGTGTGTTCACACTTCCAACTGAAGAAAATATGTTGTTATTATCTCTCCATTTAGATGCACAGCAATGCAAATCGAGCCTTAGTTGTTTCTGTCTCAACCACAGTGGTTCAGTGCAGGGCAGTTGGATAGCATCTGCTAACTGGAACTGGATAGTTGATCCCTTGAACGGTGACAAATTCATCAAAGTTGCTGAGGTTCAGGGAACAGAAACAAAGGTATGCTTTGGGATAATTCTCTTATATGGCCCATTTTGTGTTCATGAAAAAGTTGAAAACATAATTCAACTACATTTAATATTTTCAACTTTCCTCAACATTAACAAAAAAAGCCAGCTGTTACTTTGTTATATATAACTTGATTTTTCACCTGCCTCTTATTTTGGTAAGGATATGTAACTTCATCATACCACTATGAAACAGCTAAGATAGAACATTGAGAAGTTGTATTTAAAGTTGTTTGATATTTTCATATTGCTATTTGAGGATAGAGATGTTGTTTGTCGAGATCTTGTGTCCAGTATGTTCTCATACAATATGTGATGTCTTTTCTCTTTTTTCCTTGTATAGCCATTTGTGGAGAGTTTATCTAAATGCCCAAAGCATGGACTTCACAACCCACTTAAAGCTCCAGAGAGGTGTGTTTGGCTATCTTCTGTTTTGAACTGTATTTCAGGGCTAACTTATTTTGGCTCGCCAAAAGGAGCAATCTAACGTGACAGTTTATTAAGCCCACTGATATGCCCTCTATCCTCTGAATCTCTCATTAATATTACCATTTTCGAAGTTGATTGTTACTCTTTGCTTGATCATTGAAGTTTATGCTATGCTACAAATAATCTCTTGCCATGATGTCCCTAGATCTCTGACATGTGTTCCAACATCCTAATAGAAAAAGGATACTGACACATAGTTTTGTAACATCATAAATTCACAATTTTGGTAGATTTTACTTTTCACCTCTCCAATTTTTAAATCATTATTTATCATAACATTATTGCTCTTTTCTTTAAAAAGCTCTAATGTGCAGGTACCTCATGTATGGAGATATATCTGCAAAAGCTGCGCATATGCTGGGCCAACCTGCAGTATGCCATCTTGTCCTATTGATACTAAAACTATTTATCTGTCTTTTATCCTTATAAATATTCTCCAAATGATACTAGTATGATTGGATTGATCTGCCTTGTGAAATACTTTACACTGCAAAATAAGTCATGTTGAGAAGAGACACAGTTAGTAATTTAGTTTTATGGCTCATTGTTGTCAAAATGCTAAATGCAGGTCTCAGATTTCTTTGCTAAACTTATCCAGAGGGTATCTCCAAAGAGCTACCAACAAGCTCTTGCAGAAGTTCAAGTTTCTCAAAAGTTTTTGGAAAATTTTTGTGGAGATCAGGTATTTCAGCCTCTATTTGCTTCTTTTTTTTTACATATAAGATTTCTTCATTTGCATGATGACAAAAGATGTCATGCGTAATAATCTATCCATTAGTCTTGATCTCATGTAATGTTTTTTTTACAACATAGTTGTAATGTGTTGAGGGCATGCAGATATCAAAATGGTCTAGTCTGAACTGTGCAGATTGGAAGAAGATACTCCAGTTCGTAGATTCAAAGAATTTCACTTATCTTCTCATTACTCAATATTCTCTTTGTTTGGTGTAACAGGTACGCTTTCTGGCGAGTTCATTTGCTGTACCTGGCAACCATCTTGGACAAAGAAGTAATGGCTACCGTTGGCCATATGGCCCAGTAAGTGTTCTTAACAGCCTCTTCTGGCAAAAAAAAAAAAAAAAAAATTTCTTGGACTCCTTTTTGTCTCTAGTCTTTAGAGCACATTAAAAAAACATGTGAAATAACCTAATTATTACGAATAATTTTCTAGAGGATCAAGTTTATTTTCATGGATCAAATATTGAAGTGATAAGTCCTTGTTCCTTTTGAGTTGTATTTCAGTTTAAGTTTCAAGATAAACTTTTTCATCTCTTGGGGTGGGGCATGTCTTTCAACAAAATTTGCAGTACTTGTTAGCTGGAGTTGAAGAAAACTTTTACTATGCTAGTCAAATTGGCTGTTGCCATGTCTGTATTGCTGAGTGAGTGAGTGTTGACACATTGGAGTGAAGTCTGCATGCAAGCTGTCACATGTTAGCTGACGAGATAGTTCTATCTTATGCTGTATAACATGAACATTTGTATTTCTTTTATTCAAATTTATGACATGTTAAGCTAATGGATCTAGAATTTGTGCAGGTTGCAATTATCACACCATTCAATTTTCCGTTGGAGATTCCCTTACTACAAGTAATGGGAGCGCTATAGATGGGAAATAAACCAGTACTCAAGGTTGACAGCAAGGTTAGCATTGTGATGGAACAAATGATTAGGTTGCTTCATGATTGTGGATTGCCAGTGGAGGATATGGATTTCATAAATTCTGATGGTGTCACAATGAACAAGCTTTTGTTAGAGGTATGAATGGTTATTCTATGATGGTACAAGTTATAACAAGATAGAGTAATAACTAGATAAGGCAACACATTTTTCAGTGGGGTCAAGGAAGTTACTTTGGATCACAGACTTGATTGTTTCAAATTTTGTACATTTGTTCTTGGTTTGTTTATTTACTGTTATGTTCTGTGTCAAACTAGTTCCATGTTTGAAACATGTGCCTGTTTCTTTGTTTTAACATTTTAGTTTAAGAATTAAAGAGTTGTCCATCTCATTGATAATCACTAATATGGTGTGCTTCAATCAATTCAGTTAACATTTTTATTTCTTGGTCTGCGATACTTCTTTAGGGGAAGTATGTGGCACATAACATTGTTTTTTTTTTTGATAAGATGGCACATAACATTGTGTTCTGCAATTGAGGTTTTAAAGAAATTAACACAGAAGAATATGCTATCTGCCAGTTTATATTCATTCAGTACCGAAAGTCCTTGTCGACCAAGTGGACTTAAACTCTGCTTTTATGTGGAAGTTTTCATGCTTGAAATTTTTGTGATATCATGTAGGCTAATCCGAAAATGACCCTTTTCACTGGGAGCTCATGGGTAGCAGAGAAATTGGCTGCTGATTTGAAAGGCCGAGTCAAATTGGAGGATGCTGGTTTTGATTGGAAAATTCTTGGTCCAGATGTTCAAGAGGTCTAAGCCATATTTCTATTCAATGTCTAAAAATCATATTCACAATCAGAATTATGACTTGACTGGATTTCTGTGATTTATGACCAAACAGGTTGATTATGTTGCATGGGTTTGCGATCAGGATGCTTATGCTTGTAGCGGTCAGAAATGCTCTGCTCAGTCTGTTCTATTCATGCACAAGGTAAAGACTAAAGACTGCCAAATGTGCCTTATTTTGCTAATTATCTAGGACTGTTGGTGTGAACTGTGTTCATCGCTGATGAAGCATATAATGTTCTTGGTTGGTTGATCACTTGTGGTTGGTCCTTTGGTGCTTTATTGTCTGGTAACTTGGTCAATGCTAGGGTTACTACCTCTCTAATCATATTGGTCTAAAAGTTTTGGGTCACTATGTATCTGCTCAAGAGGATTAAAAGAGAAAAGAAAAGGCATCAACAGCTGGGACTGGGAGCGTGTGACAGTTATTGTGGATGCATGTGCTATTGTAGGTTAATGAACTTCGGAAGCTATTTAAGATCTTACAATGCCCTTTGGCATATTTTAAATTGCAATCAAAGTACTCTGCTTCTTGTTCTTTATTTGTTGTATAATTTGCTTCCACTTGCAGAATTGGTCTTCTAGTGGTCTGCTTGAGAAAATGAAGAAACTTTCTGAAAGAAGGAAGCTTGAAGATTTAACAATTGGTCCAGTCCTTACAGTAAGTGGACAATTCTGGATTGTAAATTTGTAATCACAAATTGTTCTTTGTAACTAAAATGGTGTGGTGTCATTTTGGGAACAAATAGTAGTTAAAAACTTAATCAAGCAATAAATGGAATCAGGTAATAATATCTTTTCCTGTTATTTTAATAGATGTGAGGATTCAGACATCAGGTAGTGTGTAAGAAGAGAAGGCAAAGGAAATTGTCTTTCACAGTACAGGTTTTCATGTAGAAGGTCAAATGTGTGGAGAAAAAAAAAGAACATGTAGCTAGTCATCACTATTTTTGTTGTCTCAACTGTTTATATGGTTAGAACTGGATTAGTGGTATAAACAATTTTTCTGTTTCTTAGAATTAATTAATATCATGGATCTTTTCTGATTCAGGTTACTACAGAGCCATGATAGAGCACATGCACAACCTTCTCAAAATACCAGGATCGAAGGTTCTGTTTGGTGGTGAACCGCTGGCGAATCACTCAATTCCCAAAATTTATGGTGCCATGAAGCCTACTGCTGTGTTTGTTCCTCTAGAAGAAATTCTAAAAAGTGGGAACTTCGAGCTTGTGACAAAGGAGATATTTGGTCCATTCCAGGTGATAGACCCTGGGTGTAATTATGTTACCATAATGAAAAACAGTACAATAATGCTTGATAATCCTGGCATTCCTGACACTAGTACTACCAACCTCTTCCAAAAACATATATAATTATATATTAAAGAAGGATATGTGATAACAGAATATAATTGTTCTTGGATATGGATTACAAATCTGCATTCTATTTTCAGAGTTAATTCATGGCTTTATTTTGTTCTAAGCAGTAAGATGCAATGATGCATAGAACTTTAGAAAAACGAAATTAATTGATGCCTGGCATTCGTATGACACTAATATCAATCCAGTATAGCAATTATTAACCCCTTCCTGAAGCATCTACCTGAGATGGAAAATGTCCACGACTACAGAAAAAGGCATAGTTCAAAATACTATCATTTGTTTTGGACTGCAACATGTACCTGTAGGTTTTTTCCTACATTCATTCAAAGCTGCATGCATATTTTTTAAACCAGTCTTTGTTGTCGTCCTTATCGCCCGTACTGACAGATGCTTTGTCAGGAGGTAGCTAGTACATGTTTCTATTGGTGCTGATTTATTCAATTATAGGGCTGCTTAAGTTTAATGTTTTTATAGCAATATACAGACTGACCTATTCTGATTCCATAATCCAGGTAGTTACAGAATACTCTGAGGATCAGCTTGAATTGGTCTTAGAAGCCTGTGAAAGGATGAATGCGCATCTGACGGCTGCAGTAGTTTCAAACGATCCGCTATTTCTGCAGGCAAGTTGGTTTAACTCTCTGCAAGCTGGGTTAACCCCGCATTTCTCACATGGAACTAGTTTGATAAAGTTAGGTTTTCTTCAGCATACTCTCAGGATCCTCGGAAAGCATCACTGTCAGTAACCAAACGTTTGAATGATTTCAGAACGTTTTCCTTATCTTGGTTTATTTTCAGGACGTACTTGGGAGATCTGTTAACGGGACAACGTACGCTGGAATTCGAGCGAGGACCACTGGCGCTCCACAGAACCACTGGTGAGCCAAGACCCAAAACCAACTTGACATGCACGGTTACAAGTAGATATACATGCTGCCCTTTATATATGGCAACGTAACATTTCCATCCCACTGTAAAATCCAGGTTTGGCCCGGCTGGTGATCCGCGAGGCGCAGGCATCGGAACTCCGGAAGCCATCAAACTTGTCTGGTCCTGCCACAGGGAGATCATATATGACATCGGCCCTGTGCCCAAGAGCTGGGCGCTTCCTTCCGCGACTTGATTAGCTAGACGAGGAGAGACCATTCCATTTCATCATGGGGAATCCCGGGGAAGAGAAGAGAAGCTGGCAGGGCCGGAGTAGTCAGGAACCGAGAGCGAGTGGCCCGTGAATGAATAATATAACCTGCATTTCTAGGCATTCTCGTCTCCCTCAACCTCAATAAAACACAATAAATGGGTCTTATAGCCTGATGTACCAATGTTCATTCCCCATGGTTGGATTGGATTAGTTACAAATTAAACAACATGCATGCACTGGTTGACGCCTCGAAAGTGCTCTGATTGTGTCACCAGCGAACAATCCGTCTGTTCGCAGCTGCACTGGGACCTCGATTCTTAGTTCTTCAACTGATAAACGCATTATTCTCCGCTAGTGCTGATTGTATATAATTCTCGATATATTGTAACCAGTAGCAGCCAGGGCTAGTGGTGATTATATATACAAGTTCAACAGTATTATGAATTGTGCACCAGTTAGCCGCCGGGGCAAAGGAAGCGTGAACACGCCATACCTCGTACCAAACATCGACAGAGCACACAACCCTCCTATATATACCTGGTACCACAAATCCACAATCATCGTCAGAGACACGAGTCCAAACATACAGCTTGAATAATACAGCTCTGAAGCTCCGCCCAACTCGTAGCTACGTACGTACAGAAATCTAATCTTGCAACCATGGCCCAGGCCGAGCTCCTCCTCCTCGCCGTCGTGTCCACGCTCTCCGTGCCACTTTTTCTCCTCCCTCGCCGTGTACCAGGACTTCTGTATCGCCGACCTAGCCGCCAGCGCCACGCCGGGCGGGTACCCGAATAAGCCCGCGAAGGACGTGACCGCCGACGACTTCCACTACGGCGGACTCGGCAGCCCCGGCACGGCGCTGAAACCCTTCAAGATCTCCCTGGGCTCCGCCATCGTCACCACGTTCCCCGGCCTGAACGGGCTGGGCATCTCCGCCGCGCGGATGGTGATGGTCCTGGCGGTGCCACGCCGCTGCACTCCCACCCGGGCGGCACCGAGCTCATCTACGTCGTCGAGGGCAGCGTCGTCTCCGGCTTCATCAGCGCCGCGCTCAACAGGGTGTACACCAAGACGCTGTACGCCGGCGACCTGATGGTGCTCCCGCGGGGACAGCTCCACTTCCAGTACAGCCACGGCAACGCCACGGCGGTGACGCTGTCCTCGTTCAGCAGCGACAACCCCGGCCTGCAGATCCTCGACTTCGCGCTCTTCGCCAACGACCTGCCCACGGAGGTCGTGAACAAGGTGACCACCCTGGACGAACTGCAGGTCATCAAGCTCAAGGGCTATTGTTTCGGCGGGAGGGGCTATGATAGATTAAGCACGCACTATCTATATACCACAGTCAACAGTATTCTTGGCTTGAATTTGCGCACGGTTTTGTGAGTGAGCACGTATTTTCTATGCTAGTGATGTTTGTCATTATGTAAAATAAATTGTAACGCAGGAGGCGTACGTGAGAGTGAAAATATTTGTTTGTTTGTTTGGAAGATTGAGAGTGAAAATAGTTCATATTTGATGTTATATCTGGATTGTTAATAATACAGTATTGAAGTTCATGGACTCCTTAGCAAGCGAAAGAACCATTCTAACCTTATCATCATAACTCCACCTGTTAGATCTCACCTCGGAGAAGAATGGCCGATTGTTGATCCACTCACTTTTATCTACTCCTCCGTCCCAAACATTTGATCAACTGAGTGGTTCAAATCTTGTTTCAAAACATTTGCATTTTTACACAAGTACTAGAATATGTGTTAAAGTGTACTTCTACGTAGGACTCACTTAACTGCAAAGCCTATAACCCTCATGCACGGCGGACATGACACATTCCTGTCCATTCGTTTATCTTTTAGAGCATTCTTCCATAGGGGCAGAGGAAGTATGCACTGCAAACCTGATAGACAACAGGCCAGAGAACTATAAACAGAGGTGCTTAGATAATTTCGCTAGCTGCATTGGTATCGTGTTTGGTCCTACAATTCTTTGAATTACGGTATTTTAAGGATGGAGGAATACTACTATCGGGTTCATAATCCCGGGGTCCCCAATGGGCCCGCTTCTCAGCAAAAAGCTCGGCCCAGCAGACGACGTTGCGACAATGCGCGCCTCCTGGGCCGGCTCGGATAACCCCACGGCTGGCCGGAAGAGCGATCCAGTCTCCGATCGGAAGGCCTGGCCAAGTAGGGGACGACGCTCGCTTCCCACTCCGACCCGCTTTTTCGACAGGGAATACGCCAAACCTTTGCTTACAGCTTCCGACTCCGACTGGCGCGGTCGGAGCCGACTGAGAACAACCGACCGGGGACGTCTGCTCGGTGAGGACCCAAGAATCAGGTGGAGCAGATAAGGCGAGACGCTCAAGTGAACCGTAATACCGAGGACCGTACCCTGCACGCCTGCAGGACAGTATCGCAAGGACAAGGACATGTCAGAAGGGTGCTCTACAACCTTTCAAGCATGTCAGAACCCAAACAGTGTTGTGGATGCTGACATTTGACGTACAGTGTTGTGGCCGCCCTCATTTGCCATGCCAGGCAAACACAGTAAAAGCCTATCACATGCGTCTGACATAAACAGTATTGTGGGCGCCGACGACCGGCTTGTACCCGACAGCGTGGGCAACAAGACTTAGGATCACACGTGCACACACACACTCTCTCTCTCTCTCTCTCTCTCTTACTTGTAAGGCCATCCCCTTCACCTATAAAAGGGAATGCACTCTCTCCTAAAGGAGGACGGTTCATTGTTCCGACTCTCTCTTTGCTAGGCTTTAGAACTCTAAAGCTCTAAAGCTACACAGAGCATACGTTCCAATACTTAGCGCATGTTGGAGCTCCCGTCACTCTTGGCCCTTCGGTCCAGAGCCCGACCGGACCTTTAACACCCCCCTTCTTATTCCCACTCGTTTATAACCCCACAGCAAACTTCAAGCACCTGGGCTCAGGAATAAAGTCATCGACCGACTGAAACTGGACGTAGGGCACGTTGCCTAAACCAGTATAAACCCTGTGTCATTGAGTGCTAGGCCACATCCGATCACAACGCACGACAAAACTATAAATATTTACTTGTTGGTCACTTTTCGGACCGACAGTTGGCGCCGTCCATGGGGAGGACGCCGTGCGTTCACG